GGGGGGGGGGGTGCAAGACGGAATGAAGATCTCTCCACCCCACCCTCCATCCCCACCCAACCACCACCATCAATGAGATCTTCTCTTTTACAAGACAAGGACCATATGGCAAAGTTGTTTGCCTTCCCCGAGGAGCAAGCAAAATACTCTACATGTAGGGCTCAGTAGATAATACAAACCGATGCTGGGATTACACTTAAAAAATAGTTTAAAGCAACAATCCAAGGTAGTAAGATTAGTAACAAAAACATCTCAAAAGCTTGGCTCTGCTTTTCCTGGCGCCCTCTTGTTCTGGTTTAGGCAAGAGAGAACCCAGGAAATAACGGGCCCGGAGACTGCTCTGCCATGGTCTGTGTGGTCCACCTGGGGCCAAAGGGAACCAGCTTATGGGACAATAGTAAAGGTATTTGCCTCTTTCCTGTGAGGCTCCTTATTTCATGAAAACACCAAGGTGCCGTGATCACTACTAGCCTAGCACAGGCCACTATTTCTGAATTGGTTGCAGCAGCGTTTCAGATGTTAACAGTGGAGTGTGCTGTGCGTGAGGACCTTCCACTCACCAGTAACCTCTCCTTTCTCAGAAACATGATTCCGGTGACAGAATTCCGGCAGTTCTCTGAGCAGCAGCCTGCCTTCCGGGTGCTGAAACCGTGGTGGGATGTGTTCACCGACTACCTTTCCGTGGCCATGCTGATGATCGGTGTGTTCGGATGTACTTTACAGGTAGGTGCCTGGACTCATGGCAGGTGGGAGCCACGGGACAGCCATTGGAACCTCCTGAAAGAGCTGACTGTGATTTTTACCCAAGTAGATATTAGTTGCTTCAATACTTGTGAATGGTGTTTATAATCATGGCAGGGAGCCTGAAGCACTGATTTACTGAACTTTCCAAATAAGGTAAATATGGTACTTATAAGGTTTTACTGAGCCCAAACAGCAGTTGACTGGAGTCAAGTAGTAGTTGATGTCACTAACATTAAAGGAAGTCCCTTGTCTTTCAAAGTTGGCTTTATAGTAAAATATAGCATGTATATCCACAGCACCATTTTTATTGCCAAAGTGGAACTCTTTTCTTTACCGCATAAACTAACCCCTGATAAGATTTTCCAGAAGAACATTTTGATGAGATGCCATTATTAATTTTACCCATTGTTTAGTTCTCAATTAAAGTGTAGCCCAATCAAAATTTATTCTTTACAGATGCTCTGTACTCATATATTGAATCCAGATTATTTTTGCATACCTACTATGTGCTAGGCACTGTACTTTAGGGACATATATATCATTAAGCAGTTTATTGCTGGGGTAAAATGAAATAAACCAGCAGTCAGGAAGGTTGTGTTATACTATGTTAGATGCATCCGTAAGCAATAAGGGAGTGCAGAGGAGGGGTGCTTGGTTTGGGAACAGGAGAAAAGGGGATGGTTGTATTAAAATTTGGAGAATCAGCTGAAGTTAGGGAGAGGGAGATGAGGTAGGAGAGGGTGCCAAGAAGAGGAAAGAAAGTCCTAAGTCATGAATGTGAGGAAGATCAGGGCATCTTTGGGAAACTCGGCAGGACTGGCTCTCACTGGGTGCCATCAGTGTGAGAATTGAAGCCATGCCTATGAATGGAATCACCCCGGGGGGACTGTGAGCGAGATGATGTTAGGAATAACATCAAAGAGTGACGGAAGGAGAAAGGGGTGCCTCTGAAGAAGACGAAGGGGCAGCTGTAAGCACAGATGGAACCTGGAGAGGAGGGCCTCAGAAGTCAGAGACAGGTGTGGTTACTGATGGCTGGCAATACAACTAGCTCATGGACTACGGAGAGAAAAGTAGCAACTGGGTCATTAGAAATCTTGGTTTCGGTGGGTGCAAAAGTGAATGGAAGTTAAAGTAAACGCTATGGGGTAGGTACTCCATAATCCCTTCACCTTTTTCACCCAGAAGTGCAAATTGGTAGTTACAGAACAGTCACAGGGATGTCGATTACAGCATAGGGCATATAGTCAGTGAGACTGTAATAACTATGTATGGTGCCAGGTGGGTACTTGAAATAGCAGGGGAACACTTTGTAAAGTATATGATTGTCCAACACCCATGCTGTACACCTGAAACTAATACAAAACAATACTGAATGTGAACTGTCATTGAAAAAAGGCTGTGGGGTAGTTGTGACTTTTAGGTAAAACAGCTGAGAGGAAGAGGAGCTTGGAAGAGAGAAAAATAACCAGAAGTGGTGCCGAGTAATAATAAAGGCCTTTTAAAGTAGGTTTTAATACTATTTAACATGTAGTGCTTCCTCTGTGTCAGGCGTGATTCTGAACACGTTACATGTATTTTAACTCATTTCAGCCTCAAGGCAGCCCTAAGACAGAGGTACTGTTATCCCCATTCACAGACAAGACAACTGAGACACAGAGAGTTTAGAGCAACCTCCCAAAGTAGATGGCAAAGCTCTTATTCAAACCTAGGCAGCTTGGCCTCAAATTCTCTGTTCTTAATCCCTAACACCATGCTGCCTTTTATTTGTTAGCTGAAAAAATTTTGCCCTTCCCCCTTTCTTAAAAAACTACAACAATGCAATGAAAAACTAGAGTTTGAAAGAGATAAGACATAAATTCATCCATAAATAAAACAAGTAATTGTAGAAGAACCTACTATGTGCCAGGCACTGTTCTAGGAGCCATGAATGGTCAATACAGGAGGGGGGGTGGAAAGACAAATGTACTCACCTTATGGAGCTTAAATTCCCTGGGAAAAACCAGCAGCAGAAGGAAAATCAATTAGTAAATTATATATGTTAGAAGGTAATAAAGGCAACGGAAAAGAAAAGAAAACATACGAGGATGGTGGGAGGTCCCAGCAGCTGAGATTAGGAGTGGAGTTGCAATTCTCAAATAGGGTGGCCTGAGAAGGCCTCGTCGGGAAGGTGGCTTTGACCAAGGAATTGAAGAAGGTGCAGAAGCAGGCCATGCAGATGCCGGGGAGGCGCCTTCCAGGCAGAGGGAACGGAGGAGACTTTGACATTTAACTTTCTCAACTTTCTAACCCTGTCTCTCCGCAGACCTGATAAGGGTAGAATGTTACAGCGTTGCTAGGCAACACTGCTTATGATGTAAATGACTGCTGATTGGTCAGCTGCATCTGGGCTGGTAGGAAGCCACGCCATAGGATTCCACGATTATGGTGACACTTGTAACTAGGCATGTTCTTTGACACATGGGAGAGGTATCTGTTGGGTTACAGGAGATATGGGCTCCTTTGGAACATAAGGCTTTTAAGCCGGGATAAATCCCGAGTCTGCCTACAGTGGATCTCTTTTCCTTGCACCTGAGATGATTGGGGAGGAGAGGCTCCGGGAGAGCCTAGCTCCTGGGCCGCAGTGTGGACCACTACACAGTTGTGAAGATCCCCCAAAGGGGAAGGCCTGATGCTGCCTTGCTGGCAAGCTGTGACCCCATCCTGTATCTTTCTAAGTGATTCTGGTGCCAAGTGAGGTTTGTGATAATTTTGTAACGCTGAACGTGGACGTGAACCCAGAAAGATCCCTGGTGGTGATGTTACAGGCCTGAAGCAGGGGCATCCCTGGCTTGTTGAAGGAACAGCCTGGAGGCCAGTGTGCTGGAGAGGAGAGGGCGAGTGGAGGGAAGGAGAATGAAGCCCGAGAGGTGCCGGAGGAGGTAGAGCCTTCTGGCCACTACAGTGGTTTTGGCTTTGCTCTGAGTGAGATGGGACATGTTTGGAGGATTTTGAGCAGAGGGTAGTCAGTTTGTGATTAGGTTTGAACAAGACCACTAGCTGCTGAGAGTACAGCGCGGAGGCAAGGACAGAAGCGGGGGATTTTTTAGAAGGCTACTACAATAATCCAGGCAAGCCATGAATTAGATGGCTTAGACCAGGATTAAAGTGGTGGTTCTGGATATATTTTACAGGAAAATCACTAAGATTTGTTTAATTGAATGTGAGGTGTGAGAGAGAGAAATAAAAAATGACTTGACAGTGTTAGGTCTGAGCAACTGGAAAAAGTTTCTGAGCATGTTAAGTTTGAGATGTGTGCAGGATACCCAAGTAGAGATGTTAAGCAGTTGGATACAAGACCCAGGAGAACAGAGAAGGGAAGAATGGTCGTCTCAGGAGGAAGGAGGTGATGGACCCGGGGGAAGGAGTACCCTTGATTTGGCGGAGGGAGCATCTCCCACCAGTATGAGAATGGTGGCTATAGAAGCATTTTATTGGGGCGGAGGGAGGAGAGAGGCACAGAGAGACAGGAGCGTATGCCTCGTGGTGCTGTGAAGTAGCAAGTGACACGTGCTGAGAGATTGTGAGGGTAAGGAAGGCAGGACATGGTGACAAGGAAGGTAGCGGAGGGAGTAAATGGCAACGATTTGGAATGGCCAGTTTGGGAGCTAGCAGGAAGGCCCCACATCAGCCTGCCTTTGTTACGGTGCCGCAGCACCCAGCCCCGCCGTAAGCATGAGAATCCTTTCTCTGTGCACATATTCCAGGGCAGGAGGAAATGCAGGAAAGAGATGTGCCCGCAATGAGTGCAGGAAGGGACTCAGGCACAACTTCAGCATCTTTTTTTGTACCACGGCCAGGATCACCTTCCCGGGGCACAGCTGCCATCGTGGGTCTCTGCAGCACAGAAGCTCTTTACTCTCTCTCCGCTTAGCACCCACCCAGCACCACCAGCACCACCTCCCACGTCCATTGCCCACTCCTCAGATACATGACCTAACGTGGCCCCTTCACACACAGGCCTATTTCAGCCTTCCAGCCTTTATAAAGAAAATGGATGCCCATTGACTGGGTACAGGAAGTGTAGTCTGAGGTGTCTAGGTTCTGAGAAGAGAGAGACACCCCACAGAAATATTGCATCAGAATAAAAAGCCTACCAGGCTCAGAAAATTTATGGAGTGGGCCATTGTATTCAACAAACATCTCTGAGCACCAGCCATACGGCAGGCACTGTGTGGGGCTCTAGACACTGAAAGGGAAACAGTACAGCTCCTGCCGTCAGGTTGCTCATAGTCTAAAGAGCATAGAAATACATAAGCAATGTATTTTCTGATTTACAGTTTAGATTATTTAAAAGATTATTCACCAGCCATTAAAAAGGAAAACTTTCAACTAACTATAGCAAACATTAAGGAAACAGGAAGTAAAATATAACATAAATAACTAAAGAAAGTAAAACCACCCAGTATCCATATAACAAATTAATGTTCCCTAGGAAGATTTAGGTTCTTATTTTAGCCCTACTATGATAATCCTCTGAATTTTACTTATTGATTGATAACTTCATAAATAAAGGTTCTCTGTGAAACTCAGATTTCTTTCCCATTTCAAGGGTGATATTACAATGCTTATTATATGTTTTCATGACTTGATTTTCCCTTTGTAAAATGAAAATGCAGTAATTCTCTCATGTTATTTACAAAACAAGTTAACTCAAGGTTTGAAAACAGGACAAACCAAAACCTAAGGTAGGGTGAGAAGAGCCCATATTGGTGATAAAATGGTAAGCCAGTAGCTTTTTGACTGTTTCCTAAATGACTTCTTCCAATGGCAAATAATTGTTGATTATCTGTTTACTCCTGAAGGACTGTTCATAAAGGTTTAACACTACGCAGCTTTGAAAATACTGGGGGAAAGGGGAAGCTATTATTTGCCAATAGTGTTGATTCTTTCTTGCCCTGATGTAAAAGAATTAGAATCAATGCTCTTGTCTCACTCAT